TCAAGAGATCCAGACTAAAAAGGCTCTGCTGCTCCTGGCAGCCAGGCGCTTCCCCCAGCTCCCAGTAGAGTGTGTGTGTGTGTGTGTGTGTGTGTGTGTGTGTGTGTGTGTGTGTGTGTGTGTGTGTGTGTGTGTGTGTGTGTGTGTGTGTGTGTGTGTGTGTGTGTGTGTGTGTGTGTGTGTGTGTGTGTCGCTTCCCCCAGCTCCCAGTAGTGTGTGTGTGTTTTCCGCCAGCTCCCAGTAGTGTGTGTGTGTGTTTTCCGCCAGCTCCCAGTAGTGTGTGTGTGTGTGTGTGTGTGTTTTCCCCCAGCTCCCAGTAGTGTGTGTGTGTGTGTGTGAAAGAATCTGAGATTAGGGTCTGGGAAAGTGGCTCAGTGGTAGAGCACTTGCCTTGCATGCATGAGCCCTGGGTTTGATTCCTCAGCACCACATAAGCAGAAAAAGCCGGAAGTGGTGCTGTGGCTCAAGTGGTAGAGTGCAGCTACCCTTGAGCTGAAGAGCTGAGGGACAGCGCCCAGGCCCAGAGTTCAGGCCCCACGACCAACAAACAAAAACAAAACAAAAAAAAAAGTGAGATTAAGTGCATGAAAGTATTTTGTAAAACTTCCAGACTGGCAGTAACAGGAGTGATTAGGAGAACAGAGCGCTGCAGGGCAGGGTCACCAGGACAACCTAACTTTTGGTTGCAGAAAGAGACCACCAATATTCTTTTGCCTCTAATCCGTAGGCAGGAGGGGGAGGCTTTACCTCACAGCTACTCTGCAAAAGTTCTTGCCAGTCCCAGTAAAGAGAAGCTGAAGAGCTGTAAGGGGGAAGAGGTCTCACACGGTCACACACAACCCTTCCCATGTTGACAGTGGATCTGCAGCTCCAGAGTTGGCCTACCCCAGATGCTGGCTGGCTACGTCCCTGGCCTGCAGGGCTGCTGCTCTGTTCTCTCCACAGAGCTAAGGGGCTCCTGCTGCCCTGCCGTCTTCAGTCGGCTAGGACTTTCGCCTTTAGGGCTCTCCAAGAGAAGGTGGGCCAGCCTTCAGCTGCTGCTGTGACCAACTCCAAGGATGGGGCCGTGGCTTTGGGCAGAAAGCCTCATTCTGCAGACTCATAGGGGAGGCACTTGCCCCAATTATTCCAGAAAACATAGAGCCCACTAAACCAGGGCCTGGTCCCCGGCACGGAGCAGCTATACACCCTCTGCCCCGTAGCAGTCTGGAAACCCCCCCGAGCCCCAGAAAGGCCTAGAAAACACGCCGATGAAGACAGGGCGGAAGGATGGAAAAGGAAAACTCCATTCCCAACCACGCACGGACACAAGAGCCAGCCCCGAGCCCCAGAGCATGCTCAGTGATGGTCACGCAGGGACACAGGGACCCACCCAGGAGACACGGCCACCACCCCCCCCGGGGCCACCGCCAGGGCGACAGCCTGGCAGCCGGGCAGGGTCGGGCCCCGGTGGGCACGACGCCCCGGCTTCCCCGCAGGCCGCTCCCGCCGGGGGTCCGCGTCAGTCCCACCCAGCGGAGTCCCGGGTCCCCTCCCCGCACGCGCGGCCCAGGCCCCGCGCCGGCCCCGGCTCACCTCGCTGTTGCTGGCCGAGGAGGAGGCGGCGCTGGGCGTGGGCGAGCGCTGCAGGGTCACCAGGGCCATGGCTGCCGCGTGGGGCGCGGGCGCCGCCGAGGCCTGCAACTAGAGACGCCGCCGACGCCGCCGGGCCGAGCCCGGGGCCTCCAGGAGCCGCGCGCGGGCGGGCGGGCGGGCGGGCGGGCGGGCGGCCGGGCCGAGCCGGGCCGGGCCCGCCCCTCGCCCTCAGCGTCCGTCGCCCCCGCCCCGCCGCCTCCCGCGCCGGCGCGCGCCCCCCCCCCCCGCTGAGCCGGAGGGGGTAGGGGGAGCGGAAGGGGGCGTGTCCTCGAGGGCGGGTTGGAGGAGGGGTTGAGCTGGCGGGGCGGAGCCGAGCGGACGGCGAGGGGCGGGGCAGAGAGGAGAGGGCGGGACGGAATAGGCAGAGGAGGGAAGGGAAGGAGGGGCGGGGCCGAAGGGGCGGGGCGGAGCACTGCGCACGCGAAGAGGAAGCTGCGGGCCGGCTCTCGCTTGCCTCAATTGGCCTTGGGTATCCGGGCGGGGGCGTGGCCACGATGAGGACCGCCTCCGGAAGTCGGCCTGCGGAGCTGACCAGGGTGGGACAACTGAGGCCTGTGGACTAAGTGGTCCAGACTCTTCGGGGGATGATGCGTGCAATGACTCAGAAATAAAAGAATTCCTCTTGCTAGACTTTGCAGAAATTCAGTTCGTTTACTCATTCATTTATGAACCATTTGTTGAGCTTCTACTGAATACTAAGCGTTCAGTATACAAAAGTGAGCAAAGATTAGACCCATCCTTGGGGATTTGATTGAGGTTCCTGAGATTATTGCATGCACTTAAAAATTAGTTTGCTAGCCGGGCGCTGGTGGCTCACGCCTGTCATCCTAGCTACTCAGGAGGCTGAAATCTGAGGATCGCGGTTCAAAGCCAGCCCGGGCAGGAGAGACCGTGAGACTCCTATCTCCAATAAACCACCAGAAAACCGGAAGTGGCGCTGTAGCTCAAGTGGTAGAGCGCTTGCCTTGAGCTGAAGAGCTGAGGGACAGCACCCAGGCCCAGAGTTCAAGCCCCACGACTGACAAAAAAAAAAAAAAAAAATTAGTTTGCTAGCCGGGTGCCGGTGACTCAGGCTTGTCATCCTAGCTACTCAGGAGGCTGAGATCTGAGGATCGCAGTTCAAAACCAGCCCGGAAAGGAAAGTCCATGAGACTCTTACCTCCAATGAACCACCAGAAAACCAGAAGTGGCACTGTGGCTCAAGTGGTAGAACACTAGTCTTGAGCTGAAGAGCTCAGGGACAGTGCCCAGGACCAGAGTTCAAGCCCCACGACTGACAAAAACAAACAGAAAACACCAGAAGAAGTGGTGCTGTGGCTCAAGTAGTAAAACACTAGCTGTGAGCACAAAGAGGCTCAGGGACCAGAGCCCAGGCCCTGAGTTCAAGCCCCACAACCAACCAAAAAACAATTGGTTTGCTTGTGGAGGAGGCTAGTTTTGTAGTAGGGTGCTTACCTAGTATGCTCCAGGCCTAGGATTTAAAGCTTTCCTTCTAAGTGTCTAGAAACTGGAATTTTGAACCCCAGGCCCAAACTCCAGGACTTCCACTTGCCCTTGTCAGCCAAGTAAAGACTCAGGTGAAGAGCAGGGAAAGGAGATTTTATATCACAGCATGAGCATGCCATGAAGACAGCACTTTAGTTCCTCTTTATCTGTATTTTAGGCTACAGACATGAGCTTCAGGTATTATAGACAAAGAATTGGGGGGCTGGGGGAGGCAGGGGAAGGGATGATTTATGATGATTAAACAGTCGTGGCCAAAGTATGGCATGGTTGGTTATTATCTTAGTATTTGTTTGGGGAGAATTCTGGAGAATTGCTAGCACTGTCAGCACTCCTTAGCATCAATAAGACATAGATGCCTGGTGGGTGGTCTGTCCTTAAGGGTGATTTTGACTGGCCCTCATAAAGATAATCTGTCCTTCCCAGATTCCAAGTTGATTGCCAATTGAGTGCAGAGAGAATAGTTTACTGTAGCTACACTTATGAAATGGAGGCAGAGATGTCAAGCTTTTCTCTTGCTTTGAGTTAATTCCAAGGCCCAGCAAAAGCAGCTTTTAAAGGAGATTCTGGAAAAGTTGTTATTTCTGTCACCCCTTGAGGCAGGCAACAAGTAATTGTTACCTGGGGGTCGGGGGTGGGGGTCCTTTCTGAACTAACTTCCAGTTCCTTTCCTTATTGGCAATTCCTTCCATCCTTTCTTCTTCTTCCTTTTTTTTTTTTTTGTCTGTCAAAGGGCCTGAACTCTGGGCCTGGCACTGTCCCTCAGCTCTTCAGCTCTACTACTTGAGCCACAGCACCACTTCCTGCTTTTTCTGCTTATGTGGTGCTCAGGAATCTAACCCAAGGCCTCAAGCATGCAAGGTAAGCACTCTACCACTGAGCCACCTTCCCAGGCCCCCATCGTCAGTGCTGTCCTTCCTGGATTCCAAGGTGTCAGCCAGGTGAATAGCTTATAGAAAGACACAAAAACAGAGCCAGGAACTGGTGGCTCACTCCTGTAATCTTAGCCACGCTCAAGACTGAGATCTGAGGATCACGGTTCAAAGCCAGCCCAGGAAGAAAAGTTAATGAGACTCAATTAACCACTAAAAAGCTGGAAGTGGAGCTATGATTCAAGTGATAAAGTTCCAACCTTCAGCATAAAAAAAGCTAAGGAATAGCTCCTAGGCCCTGAGTTCAGGACCCACTCCAGCACAGAAAGAAAAGAAGGAAGGAAGGAAGGAAGGAAGGAAGGAAGGAAGGAAGGAAGGAAGGAAGGAAGGAAGGAAGGAAGGAAGGAAGGGAAAGGAGGGAGGGAGGGAGGGAACGGGGAAGGGGAAGGAGGAGAAAGCAATGAGCCACACATCCTCCCAGCCCAAATAGCTGCCTCCTTAAGTCCCTCCTTGACCTCATCTGTCCAGTGTTGCAGGATAGCTGGCCTGTCTTCCACTCAGGGGCTGCTTGGTGACACCCCCCCCCCCCCCCCCCCCCCCCCCGCTGCAGGCCAGGCTCACAAGCAGCCCAGGGATCTGCCCTCCCCTCTGCCAGCAGGATGAAGACAGAAAGAAGATCGTCTCCAGCTGGCCAGAGAGACAGACTTCCTTGTGCCCTGAGAGAAAGCCCTCCCTCCCTCCCTTCCTCCTCCCCCCCCCCCCCCACCGCAAAGCCTGTCCCCAGGGACTTGGGATCAGCCAGAAAAGTCAGGCAACTTTTCAGTGACTTGGAGCAAGGGGAGAAGAGGTCTCCAGGCTGGTCGCGCTAAGTCCAGTTTCCAGGCCAGCCCAGGGCTGGTCAGCCCCACCCCTTGCTACCCTAGGGTCCACAATTTAGACTTTGACCCCAGTGTGCTGTTCTGCTGGCTGTCAGACAGAAGGATTGAAGTCAGAAGGCTTCCCCCCACACCCTACCTTGATAAAAAGGAGTTTTCCTGCAGGAAACAGGACCCTGCACCCCAGAAGCTGCCACGTTCCTCCACAGGTCGGCTACGTGGGGTGAGTGACACAAGTACACTTTTGAGGGGGAGAGGAGGAGGGTAGAAGGACACAGGATCGTCCCAGTGTCAACAGACCAGGCTCAGCATTAGATACAGAGAAGACAAACCTGGCTTTGGGCAACCGTCTCCCCAGAGAGGTAAAGCTCTAGCCCTGGAGTCAGGTGGGGGTTTGCAGGTAAGTAACTTCTTATCTCCAACCCTCCTTTTCTTACCTGAGACATGGGATCGTGACTCAACTCTGTCTGTCTGTCTGTCTATTGTGTTGGTCCTAAGGCTTGAATTTGGGCCCTGGGTGAATGCTTTGTCCCTGAAACTTTTTTTTTCTCTCTCAAGGCTGATACCTGCCCACTGAAGTCGCAGCTTGATTTCTGGCACTTTGGGGGGGAGGGGGGAGGCAGGCAGGTGATTCCTAGGAAATAAGAGTGCCCCAGACTTTCCAGCCCTTTCCAGCTCTCAGCCTCTTGAATAGTTAGGATGACAGGTATAAGCCCAGCAGACTTTTTGGTTTCCTTAGAAGTCTTTCACATTCTTTGCTGGGAACACAGAGCAGCTAAAGACAGAAGCTGCCTCCGAGGCTGGTTTTCCGGAGACAAGAAGGACATAGACAAACTCAGACAAGACCGAAAGACAAGGAAGAAGAGAGGAAGGCAGGCAGGCAGGAAGGAAAGAAGGAAGGAAGGAGTGAATGAAGGGAGGGAGAGAGAGAGACAAAGAAAGAAAGAAAGAAGGAAAGAAGGAAAGAAAGAAAAGAGAATTCCAGTTCAGCTTACTGCCAGCTGCCTAAATATTTCTAGTGTGCAGTATGCAAAGCTGGAGAGGAACTGGGTCAGCCCTGAGCACCATCGGCCTAGCTGTGTCACCTGGGGTGACTGGCTTTCCCTCTCTGAATCTCAATCTTGGGCACCTAGACTGTAATAATTATTCTGAGCTCCTTGAGTGGTGGAGAGAGCCGGGGTGAAGGGTTGTGTCTATCCAGAATCTTCATATGACAGAAACAAAAGGCATTGGTTTCCTTGCTCCACTGAGCTTGCAAGATATTATAATCTCTCTCTCACACACACACACATGCAACACACACAGTGACACACGTAAGAACCTCAGCTGCTTCACCTCCCTGCATACACACTTTATATTTGCTTGGTTGCAGTTATTGGTATAAAATGGATACAAAACCAGTACCAGTGGCTTGTGCCTCTAATCATAGCCACTTAGAGGACTGAGATGTGAAGTTCAAGGTTTGAAGCCAGCTTAGGCAGGAAAATCCAGGAGACTCTTATCTCCAGTTAACCATTTAAAAGCTGGAATAAAGCCGGGTGCCAGTGGCTCACACGCAGCTCAGGAGCCAGAGATCTGAGGATAACAGTTCAAAGCCAGCCCAGGCAAGAAAGTCTGTGAGACTCTTATCTCCAATAAGCCACCAGAAAAACCAGAAGTGGCACTGTAGCACTAGCCTTGAGCTGAAGAGCTGAGGGACAGTGCCCAGACCCAGAGTTTAAACCCCACGACTAACAAAAAAAAGCTGGAATGTGGAGTCGTGGTTCAAGTGGTAGAGCACCAGCCTTGAGGGAACAATGCTATGGCCCTGAGTTCAAGCCCCAATACAGGCGTGTGCACACACACACACACACACACACACACACACACACACACACACAAATGAGGACAAATGAAAACATTAACCACAGCAACAAGGAAATAGTTGACTCAGAAGCCAAACTCGCTGCATGTGGGTGCAGAAGTTCATTGCTCACTTGCATGAGTGATTTACCTGAGGCTGGCTGGCTCTGCCAGGTCCTACAAAAGGGCTCCCAATTCTATTCAGAATCTCATTTTCCTATGTGAAGTTGCTACAGAAAGTATGGAACATGTTTCATTTCCTATGTGCCTGTATTTCTCTCCATGTAATTGACTGAAAGCTGTGATTTTTTTTTCTTTTTCTTTTTTGCAATTCTATTCTCACCTATATACTCAAAATTCCTCTAAATGGTACCTTTGGGGTTTGGGAAAATGCAAATGTGAAACATGGTGCATTCATCTTTTTTTTTTTTTGTCGGTTGTGGGGCTTGAACTTGAGGCCTGGGCGCTGTCCCTTAGTTCTTCAGCTCAAGGCAAACCCTCTACCACTTGAGCCACAGCACCACTTCTGTTTTTCTGGTGGTTCATTGGCAATAAGAGTCTCATGGACTTTCCTGCCCAGGCTGGCTTAGAAGCATGAACTTCAGCTCTCAGCCTCCTGAGTAGCTGGGATTACAGGCATGAGCTACTGGTGCCTGGCTATTTTTAATTTTTTTTTTTTTAATTTTTTTTTGGGTCTGGTCATGGGGCCTAAACTCTGGGCCTGGGCGCTGTCCCTCAGCTCTTCAGCTCAAGGCTAGTGCTCTACCATTAGAGCCACAGCGCCACTTCCGGCTATTTTCTTTTTGCTTATGTGGTGCTGAGGAATCGAACCCAGGGCCTCAGGCATACAAGGCAAGTACTCTACCACTGAGCCAACTTCCCAGCCCTATTTTTAATTATTTTAGGATTGTTTTCTTTTAGTTGTTCTGTTGTCTGGACTCAGGGCCTCATGCTTGCTAAGCAAGTGCTCCACTTCTGACCCATGTCCTAGCTTCTTTTGGCACTGGTTACTTTTTATTTTAATCCTCCTAAGAACTCCATTTGTGCAACCAGGCCTTGCTTAACACTAATATAGGCCTGGGGACGGGGCAAAGAACAAGATCAAATTCCTGCAGGCTGATATGCTGGGAGTGAGGAGGGGTGGAGGCCCTAAGGGGCAGGCTTTGCTACCCTGGAAAGATCTATCAAAGAGGAAGCCAGGGCTCAGTTAGGATAAACCAACTTATCCTAGCTCATTGAGGTCTCTCCATCTTTTGTCACTGAAAATTATGATCCTGAGAACACCCTTAATCCAGAGCAAACTGGAGAGATTGGAGACCCATCACCCAGTCAATTAGAGGGACTTAACTAGTGTGTGCCAGAGTTAGGCTGGGAGGTCCTGTCCAGTTGTTACTGTCAGCGCCTCACCCACCCCCATTTCTAGCTTTTTTTTTTGGTCCGGTCGTGGGGCCTGAACCCAGGGCCTGGGCACTGTCCCTCAGCTCTTCAGCTCAAGGCTAGCGCTCTATCACTTGAGCCACAGCGCCACTTCCGGCTTTTTTCTTTTTGCTTATGTGGTGCTGAGGAATCAAACCCAGGGCCTCATGCATGCAAGGCAAGTGCTCTACCACTGAGCCACCTTCCCAGCCCCATTTCTAGCATTTTTATCATGGGGATTTTTTTTTTTTTTTGGTCAGTCATGGGGCTTGAACTCTGGGCCTGGGTGCTGTCCCTCAGCTCTTCAGCTCAAGGCAAGTGCTGTATGACTTGGGCCACAGTACCACTTCTGGTTTTCTGAGTGGTTCATTGGAGATAAGAGTTTCCTGGATTTTCCCGCCTGGGCTGGCTTTGAACTGCAATCCTCAGATCTCAGCCTTCTGAGTAGCTAGGATTACAGGCGTGAGCCACCAGCACCTGGCTCATAGGAATTTCTGAAAATACAGGAGAGTCCTTTAGTTACTATTGATATAAAAGAATGACCAGCTCTCCAGAAATGATGCAGTCAGGAAGCGCAGAGAGTGAAAGAATCTGGCAAAGATCACACAGTAATCCAGAAGTCCCACTAGCTCTGACTTGTCTTCTCCTTCTTCCTTGAGACTGTTTTCCCACTGAGAGTTTTCAAGATGCTGGGAGACAGAGGAAGACCTACTGTGTGCAGAGGACCTACTGTGTGCCAGGCACTGAATTGGGAACCTTTGTAGAATACACACACACACACACACACTAGTGTGCACACTAAGATTGAATGTAGGGCTTCAATTATGCTAGACCTTATAACTGAACTACCTCTTCAGCCCAGAACTCATCATTTCCTCTCGGGATAACCTGGGAAATTGTGGTTACTACTGTCTTACAGATGAGGGGGTTGGGGGGTCACATGTCCTGAGACAAAGTGCAGGAGAAAAGGGAAGGGAGGAGACAAGGGGGTCCTTGGCTGTGTCTCCTCCCCCAACCCCTCAGCATCCAAGTCTAGGCTTCAAGCTGGAAGGAGAACAGTCTAGAAGAACGATACCTTTCTGTTTGTTGATTCGATGTCCAACTTGGCTTCTGAAACCCCAGCCGAGTCCAGCTCTCTCGGGCTGGAGCCATTTTCCCCCTTTGCAAAACTAGGCCGTGTTGAGAATGTCCTGCTGTTCAGGACCACAGAGGCCCGAGTTGCCAGGAGCCAGGTCTATGGAGGGCAGAAGAAAAAGGAGGAAAAGTTAAATCTGGCCCTTCCGGGCACACACAGTCCTCTTGTCCTGCCTTAGCAGGAGCCAGCAGAGAAGTTCAAGGTCAAAAGCTGCTGGCCTTATAATAAACTTCTGAGGGCCCAGCCGGCCGAAGGCAGGCCAAGTTCTGTGCTGGAAGACCCAGTGCTAAGCTGCTCTCCGCATCAGCTAGTGCCAGTTTAGCACCCAGTAGGGGTACAGTCAGTGCAGCTTGGAACTCAATCCTCCCAGCGGCGCCCCTACTTGGCTGTGTGGACTCAGGTAAGTCACTCCACCTCTCTGAGCCTCAGTTTCCTTAATCTGTGTAATGGGATTCAACACAGCAGCCCCTACCTCAGAATACTGGAAGACTGAGATCAAACGATGCATGTGAGACACAGCCCTGGAACTGGTGCACAGTAGTTATGCACAAAAGTCAGCGAGCGAGTTGCTTCACCTCCTCTTGATTTGACATCATGTGAAGTAGCCTGCCCATCCTCTGAGCTCCCCATTGCAAGAAATTGAAGTTCATGAAGTTTTTGCCCAAGGTTAACGACTAGTGGGTGGCCGAGCTGAGATCTAAGATTCGAAGCCAGAACACATTGTTCTAACCACAGATGACCCAGTGTACAGGTGACCGGGGGTTCTGCCAAACCATTTATGTCCCCAGCCTAAGGTTTGGGAGCATCCAGAAAGTTCTCCAGCAAAAGCTGTTACTTGTCACTGTGTGACTTTGGCCAAGCGCTTTGTTTCTCTGTGCCTCTATCTGCTAAGTGGGAAAATAGTTGGGTCTTGATGACCACATATAAAAAGTGTTGGGGCTGAGCACTAGCTCATGCCTGTAAGCCTAGCTACTCAGGAGGCTGAGATCTGAGGACTGGGGTTTGAAGCCAGATGGGCAGAAAAGTCTGTGTGACTCATCTCTAATAAACCACTCAGAAAAAACCAAAAGTGGTGCTGTGGTTCAAGGGGTAGAGCACTAGCCTTGAATCAAAGCAGCTCAGGGACAGTGGCTAGGCCCTGGGTTCAAGCCCCAGGACTGGCAAAAAAATACATATATATATATATATGTACACAGACAGACAGATAGACAGACATAAAGGGCTTGGCAGTGCTTGGTACTCTCAGCAATCAGGAGATGTTATTGATGACCAGGACAATGAAGGAACCCATAGAGAGAATAAAACACTACAATCTCCCCTTCCTTCTTGCAGACCGGTCCGATGCGTGTGGTGGTGATCGGAGCGGGGGTCATCGGGCTCTCCACCGCCCTGTGCATTCATGAGCGCTACCACTCCGTCCTGCAGCCGCTGGACATCAAGGTCTACGCCGACCGCTTCACCCCACTCACCACCACCGATGTAGCTGCTGGCCTCTGGCAGCCCTATCTCTCTACCCCCAGTAACCCCCAGGAGATGTGAGTGAGGGTCCCGAGGGCAGACTGGGCACCCGCAAGGTGAAGGCTGCAGAGGGGACCCTCCCGTTAAGCTGTGCATCACCAAGAACATGTCCTTTGTGGAAGCTCTGATCTGACATAGGAAGAAAATTCTAAGCTGGGTGCAGTGGTTCATGCCTGTCATCCCAGCTACTCGGGAGGTAGACACTGAGAGGAAGGCAGTTTGAGGCCAGCCTAGTTAAAGAGTTAACAAGACTCTATCTCAATCAATAAGCCAAGTGTGGTGGCATGCGCATAACTAGGATCTCAGCTAGATGGAGGCTGTAGATAGGAGAATCTAGGACTGAGGCTGACCCTGGGTAAAAATACATACCTAAAAATAGAGAAAGTATAGATAGGAGCAGGTGGCTCATGCCTGTAATCCTAGCTCCCCTCGAGGCTGACATTTGATGTTTGTTTGAAGTCACCCATACAGGAAAGACTGTGAGAACGTTTATCTTCGTTGAACCACCCAAAAACCAGAAGTGGAGCTGTGGCTGAAGCAGTAGAGTGCTAGCAAGCAAAAAACAAACAAACATGGACTGTACCCAGGCCCTGAGTTTAAGCCCCAGGAGGGCACATAATAATAACAACAACACAATAATAATAGTAAATAACAATAAGAACAAAAAAAAAAAAAAGCTGTTGTAATCCTAGCTACTCAGGAGGCTGAAATCTGAGGATCGTGGTTCAAAGCCAGCCTGGGCAGGAAAGTCCATGAGACTCTTATCTCCAATAAACCACTAGAAAACGGGAAGTGGTGCTGTGGCTCAAGCGGTAGAGCGCTCGCCTTGAGCTGAAGAGCTGAGGGACAGCGCCCAGGCCCAGAGTTCAAGCCCCACACTCGACAAAAAAAAAAAAAAAGGCTGCCAATGTGTCTCAAGTGGTAGAGCACTTGCCCAGCAATCTTGAAGCCCTGAGTTCAGACCCAAGCACTGCCAAAAAGCAAAAAAGGAAAAGAGAAGAAAGAGAGGAAGGAGGAGGCGGAGGAAGAGAAAGAGCAAGAGGAAGAAGAGAAGGAAGAGGAAGAGGAGGCTGAAGGAGTGAAGAAGGAAAAGGAAGAGTAGAAAGAGGAAGAAAAAGAGGAGGAGAAGGAAGACACAACTAATGAACCAGAAGTGGATTACAGTCCCCGCCATGAAAGATGTTGAGGCTGGAGGATACCTGACCGAGTAGTTCGGGGCTAGGCTGAGCTATGTAGCAAGACCCTGTCTCTAAGAGCAAAACAAGAAACAGGGAATGGTACTGACTACACCCTCTGCTATGTCAGAGACATGGGGGAACAGAGGGGGCTTTGTCCACCTCGCCCCCTGCACTGGGTGGCCCCTTGGCATCAATGAATCCAGAAAACTAAGCAGGTGACGTGGAAGATGCAAAGGTCATTATGTCAGCTTAGAAACTGCCAGGTGCCTTCACAGCTGAACCTTCCAGAGAATAATATCTCAACCAAACCAAGTGCTCTACCACTTGAGCCACAGCTCCACTTCCATTTTTCTGGTTGTTCATTGGAGATAAGAGTTTCATGAACCTTCCAGCTCGGGCTGGCTTTGAACTGCGATCCTCAGATCTCAGCCTCCTGGGTAGCTAGGATGACAGGCATGAGCCGCCGGTGCCTGGCCCCCTGGGTAATCTCATATCACACAGTCCCACCTCTGTGCGGGCCAGCGAGTAGAAGAAATGTAGTTGAGCTTCTGTGCCCAGGATGTAGAGGTCAAACATCTGAAAGAAGCAAGCCAGAGTGGGCCGCACTGTGAGCGGTGGAGGGATCCCAGAGCCAGGCTGCCTGGGAAGACAGCGTAGAGCCTACAGTGAGGCCTAGGGGCCGCTGAGACCCAGCAGGAGATGCATCCCAAAGGCTCCCAGCTCTGTACCTCCTCTCCCCTCTGCTGCTGTCCAGCCCGGGAATGGGGAGGATGGGGGAGTGTCGGGTGGGGGGGGGGAGGAGAGGAGAAGAAGGGACATTACAGGAGTCACATGGGGATGCCTGTGTCCCATGGCAAGCTGAGATCCTGTGGGCCCTTCACTTCTAGGGAGTGGAACCGGCAGACCTTTGACTATCTCCTGAGCCATATGCATTCTCCCAACGCTGAGCAAATGGGCCTGGCCCTGGTCTCAGGCTACAACCTCTTCCGCGAAGCCGTTCCGGTGGGTACTTGACCTCGAGAAGTCACAGCCAAGGAAGAACAAGGGCCCAGAAACACCTGAAATCACCTAAGCTCCAGACTCTAGGGCTGAAATTAGCTTAACTTTATTTGAGTTTAGTCTTATTTATTTCTTTGGGTGGGGGTCAAGAGGAGAAACAAAGCCTTCTATGTAGTCCAGGCTAGTTTGGGACGCCGGGGGCTCGTGATTCTCCTGCCTCAGCTTCTGGAGTATTGCAACTATAGGTTTGTGTCACCACAGGTCGCGCTAGGATCACTTAGCTAGTTTAGTGTATCTGGCTTTCTTTGCATTTAATTCTTTGGTGCCAGGATTGAACCCACAGCCTTTCATCATGCTAGGCAAGTGCTCTACCAACTTGAACTATGTTCCTAACCCATCACTTTAAATTCTGCTTGTGCTTTAAAAAAAAAAATTGTTGGGGCAGGGAAGGTGGCTCAGTGGTAGAGCGCTTGCCTTGCATGCATGAGGCCCTGGGTTCGATTCCTCAGCACCCATAAGCAGAAAAAGCCAGAAGTGGCGCTGTGGCTCAAGTGGTAGAGCACTAGCCCATGAGCTGAAGAGCTAATGGACAGCGCCCAGGCTCAGAGTTCAAGCCCTACAACCAACAACAACAACAACAACAAAAATTGTTTTTCCAGCTAGGGACATAGTTAAGTGACATCATGCTATCCTAACAGGTTCAAGGCCCTGTATTCAAGCCCAGGTACTGCAAAACAAAACAAAACAAAAACAAACGATAAGTAAATGCAGACACAATGGCAAAGCGCCCTCTCTTGAAAACATATACATATTTTTGTTATATGTATATTTCATTGTGATATGTACTGCATACACACAGATTTTGCTTGTTTGCTTGTTTCTAATGTTATTATAATTTGGCAGATACCAACAAGCTTGTTGGATGTGGGTAGAGGACATGAGACTTTGGTTGGTGCAGGCAAAACACTTACATGCCCCGCAGTAGTGGCTTTTATTATTGAACCCCCAAATACCAAGTGTCCCAGGAAATCCCAGGGCTCTTCTTCAAGATAGACTCAAAAAGCCTGGCACTGGTTGTTCATGCCTGTAAACCTACTACTCAGGAAACTGAGATCTGAGGATCACAGTTGGAAACCAGCCTGGGCAGGAAAGTCTGTGAGACTCTTATCTCCAATGAGCCACCAAAAAGCCAGAAGTGGAGCTGTGGCTCCAGTGGTAGAATACTCACTAGATTTTTTTTGGGGGGGGTCCGGGCATGGGGCCTGAACTCTGGGCCTGGGCGCTGTCCCTCAGCTCTTCAGCTCAAGGCTAGCGCTCTACCACTTGAGCCACAGCGCCACTTCCGGCTTTTTTCTTTTTGCTTATGTGGTGCTGAGGAATCGAACCCAGGGCCTCAGGCATGCAAGGCAAGTGCTCTACCACTGAGCCACCTTCCCAGCCCTACTTACTAGATTTATTTTGGGGGGGTGGAAGGCTCAGAGACAGTGCCCAGGCCCTGAGTTCAAGCTCCAGGACTGGCACCAATAAAATAAAACAAAATAAGAAATAAAGATAAGGCCAGAAGTAGAGGTGTGGCTCAAGTGGTAGAGCACTAGCCTGGAGAAGCAGCACCCAGGCCCTAAGTTCAAGCCTTAGTACTTGCACAGAGAGAGGGGGAAAGACAGAGACAGAGACAGACAGACAGACAGACAGACAGACAGAACACCAAAAACCTGTGCCAGATGCAGCTATGGCTACTTTATACTGGTAACTCCCTTCATTGTGGCAGCAGCCAGCAAGTCCACGTCGCCCTTCCCCCAACCTTGCAGATGAGGAAACAGAGGCTCAGAGCACTGCGGCAACTTACCCAAAGCCACAAAGCTCATCAGATGCAGAGCTGGGGTGTGGTCCCAGACAGCCTGTGATTTAGGGTGTCCAGCATGTCCCCGGCCTTTGAGGTTACTTACACTCAGGCTATTGAGGAGGATGGCATGGTGTAATAACAAGCATGCACCGCAGGCCAGATCTCACAGTTTCTCAGCTTTGAGCACTGGGCTTAGAGCCTCGTCCGCATTATTGGTTCCGTCCCATGGACCCAAGAATGGTTATTCATTGACTGCACAATACAAAGAAGACAGCGGAGGCTCAGAGGCTGCAAGGCAGTCAGGGGCGAGGCTGGGGTCTCCTCCCGGGTGAGCAGAGCCCATGTGCCCCAATGCCTCCTGCACCACCCTTTTGGGGAGCCTCATGTGGTCCCCATTTCTCTCCTATTTCTTACCTTGACTCGACCACTTAGTCCTCTGACTCTTAGAGTCACCTGGGCTCTAAACAGTGTGGGTTCAAATCTCTGCTGCACCATTTATGAGCTGTGTGACCTTGGGCAAGGTACTTAACCTCTCTCTAAGCCTCACTTTTTCTACTGGGGAAAAGTATGACATTCACCCCCAATGGCTTTGCTGCGAAGATGAAGGGAATCCATGTAAGTAACTGCCTGGAACAGTAGGTATCTTAGGCAGGGCAAGCATTATATAAGCTTTTTATCATCATCATCATCATCATCATCGAGAGCTAGTGAAGGATGCTCTTCTCTCCTTCCTCTTCAGGACCCTCCCTGGAAAGACATAGTTCTGGGATTTCGGAAGCTCACCCCTAGAGAGCTGGAGTTGTTCCCTGATTACAGGTAAGGTTATTGTCATACACAAAGGGGCGGGGGCACCCGATCCAGGCAGAACTATCTAGAAAACAGCAGAGGATGGAGGCACCAAACTCCCATTTCATCTAGTGCCCCTGGCCCGGGTCTCCTGGCGCCCTGTCCAGCTCCTCACAGAGGCCCCACCCACAGGGGGCTTTGGGCTGACATGGAGTCACACAGTGCAAGCCCAGAAGCTCTGTGTATCAGTCAGATTTGCATAACTGTAATAAAACACCCAACACAAGCTGCTTATAGGTTTAAAAATAGGTTTATTTTATCCTATGGTTCTTGAGGTTCAAATCCAAAGTCACGAGTTAGGCCCTCTGGGGAAGGGGCAGGGGGCTTATCATGACAGGACTGTGTCCCAGATCAATTCATATCGCAAGTCAGGAAGCAGAGACTGAGGATGGGTGTGTATGTGGGTCCCACAATCCCTTTCCAGAAAGCTCCCTGATTACCTAAGGACTTCCCCCCCACACACTCCCCCACCCAGGTCCCAGTTCTTAGGAGATCAAATGACTTCCCAGGTCACCTCCTGAGACTCCAGCCCAGCCTTTGTGAACCTTCCTCCTCTTCCCTCCGCAGCCTGAAGTCCTCTCCTCCCCCTACCCCATGCCTGATCCCCCTTCTACCAGGCACATCCAATATCCATTCACACCCACTGCCTGTGCAGGCTTCCTCTGGTAGAAGCATTCTCCTTGTGTTGAACTGAAGATCGCTCCTTGTCCCCTCACCCTCCATCTCCACCCCTTGAACGTCAGCTGGTGGTTCTGGCCCCAGCCTTTGGCGACCCACCTCCATCTCTTCCAATATGGCTGGTGCTGACCTTTATTGCTTGCTACCTTTTGCCTGTTGTGACTCTAGCTACGGCTGGTTCCACACAAGCCTGATTCTGGAGGGGCAATTCTATCTGCAGTGGCTGACCGAAAGGTAAGGCTTTAAGAAGGGGCCATTCTCTGGGAAAGAGTGGTTGTGGGATTTTTCTGTGTTAACTGGTTTTCCCCAAGCTTATGGAGGAAAACCCTGAGGCCAGGGATGGGTGCTGTCCTTGGTCCTGACAGCTACTCTGAGTGGAAGCCATTGTTCTGTACCTTGCTGGGTATCAGAATAACCCGGACAGCTTTTCATACATGATATTTATTGGCAACTTCATCCAAAAACCTCATTCTTGTGGAATAGCTTAAAATAGATTCTCTTAAACCTTCCAGATATCTTTACATCATCTGCAAATAATAAGGTACCTTGTGTGTGTGTGTGTGTGTGAGAGTGAGTGCATGAACTTAGGGCCTGTCCTTTAGCGTTTTCCTTCAAGGCTAGCATTCTACCACTACCACTTGAGCCACATCTCCACTTTCACCATTTTTCTGGTTCATTGGAGGTAAGAGTCTCACAGACTTTTCTGCCTCAGGCTGGCTTCAAACAGTGGATCCTCAGATCTCTGCCTCCTGAGTAGCTAAAATGGCAGGCATGAGCCTCTGGCATCCAGCCAGCTGTCATCTAAAACTTTTGGATGTAGCAGTGGGTGTCCTGAGCCCAGCTTCTAATTTTGGCATGGGCTCAACCTTGTCCTTTTCTCCTGTCCCAAATCTCATCTCATCTTTGACATTGTAAAACCATGCAGTGACAGTAGAACTGGAGGAAAAGAAGAAGCGTGGGTCTGAGTCCCAGTCTCTCACTGAGACTCACCGATGACCTTCAGTCCCTCCTAAAAGGCTTGGCCCATCTCAGAAGGCTGTTTCCCAAGGAGGGGGACAACTTTTGTAGACCACTAGTCCAGCTAGGAGCTCATGAATGGATCTGACTTCATAGTCATCTTCTCAAGGAGTGTCCTGTGAGACTAGTGTCCCCAGAGATGTCCCCTATGCCACCACTCAGTTGGAGGGGCAGAGAAACCATTAAAAAAATGTGTCTGATGTCTCCAGGTTAAAAGAGAGGGGAGTGCAATTCTTCCAGCAGAAGGTGAAGTCTTTGGAGGAGGTGAGCTGCAGGGCTGGGAGAGCATGGAAAGAGGGGAGGGTGGGAGGGATGCGAGCTCTGTCGCTGGAGGTATCTGCCTTGATGTTGGTTCCTAGAACAAAGAATGAAATCATGCTGGTCGTGGGGGCTCATTTACACCCATGACCCAGGTTAAGTTTTAGGGCTCGAGAGCTATCTGCTTCTCCCTTTAGTCTCAGCCACACTCCCCTGCCAAATGCTTCCTAATGCTTCTGATTGAGGTTTCTGTGGAGTGCGGGCACTCAGCTGGGATACTGGTCAAGGCAGCCCAACCCCACCCTCATGAATAGTGAGGAACAGCCACCATCGTCGGGCAGTGGTAGCATACCAGAGCTTGACTGTGCTGACTTCATTCAGTCCCGGTCCCAGCATTTATTAGAATGCCGATTTACACGCAGGAGGCACTGGGTATCTACAGTGATGAGTATGGGACAGTCAGGACCCTCCTGCTCTGGTCAGACCCTGGAGACTCATGGGTGACCACCACAGACCTGGTTCCCAAAGGCTGGCTCCTGGCTGTCTGGAGTCCGTTGCAGTGTAGTGTGTGTGTCCATGATTTGGAAGGGGAGCTGCTGCCCTGGGGCTGGGTTGCAGGCCTGGATGCTCCTCCTACATCCTTGCATTGACAAGCATCCAAGACACGGGGAGTCTCCAGCCAATGTCTGGGCAGCGTAGCGGGCGAGAGAAGGATGAGAAATGAGATGGTGAATGGGGTACCACCTGGCCTTTCCTTCTGACCCCTTTGAGGTTGTGAGGTTTCCACAATATGTGTTACCAAGCATCAGATCATTCCATCTGCTTCCTTCCCCCCTCCCTCCTTCCCTCCTCCCTTTCTCTCTCTCTTTCTTTCCTTCCCTCCCTCCCTCTCTCTTCTTCTCTTTTCCTCCCTCCCTCCTTCCTTTTCCCCCTCTCCCTTTTTCTCCCTCCCTCCTTCTCTCCCTCCCTCCCTCCATTCCTTTCTTCCTTCCTTTCTTCCTTTGTCCTTTCTTCTCTCTTTCTTTCTTTCTCTTTTTCTTTCTTCTCTCTCTTTTTCTTTCTTTCTTCTTTCTCTTTTTCTTTATTTCTTCTTTTTTCTTCCTTCTTTCTCTCTCTCTTTCTTTCTTTCTTTCTTTCTTTCTTTCTTTCTTTCTTTCTTTTTTCTTTCTTTCTCTTTCTCTCTTTCATTGGTTCTGTGCCAGTCCTGGGGCTTGAACTCAGAGTCTAGGTGCTATCTCTGAGCTCTATTTGCTCAAGGCAAGCATTCTACCACTTTAAACCATAGCACCTCAGGTTTCCTGGTAGTTCATTGGAGATAGACAAGAGCTCACGGACTTTCCTGCCCCGGCTGGTTTCAAACCTTGATCCTCAGATCTCAGCCTCCTGGGTAGCTAGGATTACAGATTATGATCTACCTATGCCCTCCCCCACCTCTCTTTCTCAGGGCCTCGCCAGCTAGGTGCTTTGCCACTTGAGTCACTCCCTCAGCCATTTTTTGCTTTAACAATTTTTCACATAAGGTCTTGTTTTTGTCTGGGCAGGCCTGAAACTAAGAGCCTTCCACATAGGCCTCTGGCATCGCTAGGATTGTGGATGTATACCATCACATCCAGCTTGTTGGTTGAAATGAGGTCTTGCAAACTTTTGCCTTGGTTGGCCTTGAAACGTGATCCTCCTCCCTACCTTTGCCTCCTGAGTGGCTGGGATTACAGGAGTGATGCATTGTACCTTTTATATCGAGGGTTACATAGGATTCTCATAGCAGCCTGTGACAGAGGCATTACTATCCCTACTATAAAATGATTATAAAGGGAGCAAGGGTGGGGGGGAGCTGAGCCTCGAGGAAATAAAGGAGTTATTTTTTTGCGGGGGGAGGATCAGATATTAGGTAAGTGGCAGAGTGGATATTTGGATCCTGGTCCATCTGATTTCCTCACTGGGACTTCAAGCCACTGTTGCACAGAGAGTAGACAGGAGGGAGGAAGAAGAGGCTGAGGGGGTGTGGGGATCTTCGCTGTTTCTTATCTATCTGCGGTTGCTGCCAGGTGGCAAGAGGAGGCGTGGACGTGATCATCAACTGCACCGGGGTGTGGTCTGGGACCCTGCAGCCGGATCCCCTGCTGCAGCCAGGCCGGGGGCAGATCATCAAGGTGAGTGTGGTTTCCTCTGGGACAAGCACGTGCTCCACACCTTCCGGGGTTGATTGGAGGTAGTGGTCACCGCCACCCCTTGAGATAGACACCATCACATCGCCACCGCCATCTTTCAGAGACGGTACACTGAGGCAGCGGAGTCCACACACACAGCAGCCCACATGTGATTGGGACTCGAACCCAGGAAACCTAGCTTAGGAGCCTGGATGGCCACCACTGACCCAGGCTGCCCTCACTGCAGGAGGGTGGGTGCATATGTGTAAGGGTAAGCCTATGGTGGGCACACATGTGTGTGCCTGCACATCTGCATGTGTGCGTGTGTGTGTGTGTGTGTGTGTGTGTGTGTGTGTACATGGTGTTCCCGACAGGGCTTGGTGTGTATGTGTCTGATTTCTGTGTCCCAAACCCACAGGTGGAGGCCCCATGGATGAAGCACTTCATTATCACTCATGAGCCAGGAAGCGGCATCTATAGGTCCCCGTACATCATCCCAGGGTAACACTCTGCTGCAGGGGGGACAAGACACACCTTCCTGCTCTCCCCATGCCCCACTGCCTGTTTGCCCACGCCTGGCTTCTCCCAGAGGTGTTTTTGATTGTTTATTGCTTTTACTACATCTGGGAAGGCAAACTTTGCTCCAATTGGGCGCTCTTGCTCTCTCTCTCTCTCTCTCCACCCTTCCCCCCCATCTCATCAGTCCTGGGGCTTGAACTCAGAGCCTGGGCGCTGTCCTTGAGCTCTCTTGCTCAAGGCCAGCACTCTGCCACTTTGAGCCACAGCTCCACTTCCAGTTTTCTACTGGTTCGTTGGAGATAAGAATCTCATGGACTTTTCTGCCTGGGTTGGCTTTGAACTGTGAGCCTCAGATCTCAGCCTCCTGAGAAGCTAGCATGCCAGGTATGAGCCACCAGAGCCTGGCTGTGGGCTGCCTGGTGAACATTCATTTGGATGACAGTAATGGTGTCACCAGAAGTAGTGTCAGAGGCAGCAGGGGTGGGGAATGACAGCTGATGATGACAGGCATCAGTGGGAGCACTGTCGCAAGTGGGATGATGGTGATGTAGGGGCCCGATGTGTCGTAGAATGGCAGCAGTAGAAGCTATTGCTACAGATAGGAAAGACCACGCTGAGGGTGTGTTGGTTGGCATCGAGGGTAGCAGAGGTGTTTCTTGGGTTGGGAGGCTGGGCTTGAGGAGGAGATCGTGTTGTTGACAGTGGAGTGGGGTGGATGGCTCTGCTGGTAGAGATGGGCCTTTTTGTTTGTTTTGTTTTTTGCTGGTCCTGGAGCTTGAACTCAGAGCCTGAGCACTGTCCTTGAGCCTCTTTGTACTCAAGGCTAGCACTCTACCACTTGAGCCACAGTGCCACTTTCTGGCTTTTTCTGTGTACGTGGGTGGTACTGAGGAATCGAACCCAGGGCTTCATGCACACTAGGCAAGCACTCTACCACTGAGCCACCTTCGATGGTTTGACCCGGTGGCAGAGATGACAATCTCAATGGCAGTGTTCACGGTGTGGCTGCCTTTGCCATCTCAATGGTGATGCTGACTGCGTGGTGCAGGTGGTGACAGCTAATGGTAAGGAGAGAAGGAGGAAGTGCAGTTGAGGGGGATGAGTCTGGTGCTGGCAGAGGCCAGGGCTTCATGCACACTAGGCAAGCACTCTACCACTGAGCCACCTTCGATGGTTTGACCCGGTGGCAGAGATGACAATCTCAATGGCAGTGTTCACGGTGTGGCTGCCTTTGCCATCTCAATGGTGATGCTGACTGCGTGGTGCAGGTGGTGACAGCTAATGGTAAGGAGAGAAGGAGGAAGTGCAGTTGAGGGGGATGAGTCTGGTGCTGGCAGAGGCCAGGCCCGGAAGCAGTAGTGGTTCAGTAGAGATGGAGGTGAAAACTGTCCAAGCTTCCGGAACTTTGCCCTGATCCCCTGTGTTTGCCCGTAGGATGCATTCGCTGACACTGGGTGGCATCTTCCAGCTAGGGAACTGGAGCGAGGTGAGCAGCAGCCAGGACCACGCCACCATCTGGAAGGGCTGCTGCCACCTGGAGCCCACGCTGAAGGTAGGTGGGCGGGGACATCAGTGTCCTGGACCAGGGCCCGGGCAGCGAGGTCCTGAGGATGACAGCCATGGGAAGGAACCCATTCCAGCAAGGAGCTGGGGCATCCACCAGAATTTGATCGTGTACAGGGAGATCGTTCCTCCGATGGATGAATGTAACTGGCCATGAGGAAAAAGACCTCTCCTGAAATAGCATCTCTAAAACAACTCAGTTTGAGCTGGGTTCTATGAGTCACACCTGAAATCCTCGGGACCTGGGAAGCAGAGATGGGGAAGACTGTGGTTTAAGATCAGTTCAGGCAAAGAAGTTCATAAGACTCCACCCCCCTCCCCTGTCTCAACCAATAGAAAGGCAGATGCAGGGGGAAAGGCCTGTTATTCTAAGGCATATAGGAGGACTGTAGTCCACATTGGCCTGGACAGAAAGCCCAGATCCTGTTTGAAAAAAAATAACTAAAGCAACATAGGGTGGGTACATAGCTCAAGTAGTAGTGAGCCTCCCTCCCAAGCAATGAAGTTTTGAGTTCAAATCCCAGTACTTGTCCAAAACACAAAACAAGAACAAACCAAAACATCTTAGTCTGTCTTCACAAGGAGCAGGTGCACTTATTGTGGAAGTCTGTTTTGGTGTCGGCCTGCCTCGTGGTATGGCGGGGTCAGGGGTGAGGGATGGCGGTGGTGGTTGGCGTTGATGATAATGGTCACCAAAGAGGCTGTTGATCAGACTGGCAGTGGTGATGGTGGGGGCGGGGGTAGAGGGAGGAGCCGACAGGTGGGCGGTGGTAGCGGTGGTAGCAGTGCTGGAGAGGGATGTGGTGGCTGACAAAAATGGGGATTAATAGGCAGAGGGGAGGGGAAGGTGTTGGTAACCATGGCAACGGGGTTCTGAAGGTTAACTCTGGATCACCTCATCATCGTGACAGCAGGAAAAGAACAATCCAGAACCAGAATGGCCAACTTTTTCTTTCTTTCCAGAAAGCAAGAATTGTTGGTGAATTTACTGGCTTCCGGCCGGTTCGCCCCCAGATCCGACTAGAAAGAGAATGGCTTCGCTCAGGATCAACAAGTACAGAGGTAGGTCCGGACAGGGCAACAGGGCCCACTCTTGGCTCCTGAGGTAACACTTCCTCTTCTGTGTCCAGGGCACGGAGGCTCATCTGTCCCAAGCAGATACTTCAGTGACCCGAGGCTCATGTTGTACCCACAAGGCAAGGGCCTGGGGTGCTGTCATCCATCTCCACACAGAGAACTGGGGCCCCTTATTGCTGGGCCCAGGGGCTCACCCAACATTCCCCCAAACACCAAGGAAAGCCCAGGATGCCTCAGAGAATTACTGAATCTCCCAGAGAAGTAAACCATCACTGGCTCCCAGAACCTGGCTACCGTTTGTTTTTGTCTCTCCCAGGTCATCCACAACTATGGCCACGGTGGCTACGGGCTCACAATTCACTGGGGCTGTGCCCTGGAGGTGGCTAAGCTCTTTGGGAAAGTTCTAGAAGAAAAGAAGTTGTGCAGGATGCCACCATCCAACCTCTGAGGACTTTTCCGTGACCAAGAGGACTCCGCACACCCCTCAATCTAGTAATCAACAGTGTGCCCCGATAAGCCCCCATCCCTGGCTTCCCTGCACAAAAGTGACAGCTAATTGGAGGAAATGTCAAGGCCATCATTGGAGGGAAATCCAGCCCCCCTCCACCCCCTCTGATGGTACTCCTAGGCCTCTGGGTCTGAGACTGTGGACAATTGAAGCTCTAATCCCGCAAGTTCTCAGAAGAAAGGAAAACTCAGAAAATCAAAGAAGCCAGCTGCTCAGAGGCATGAGAAAAAAAAAATGAGGTTAGCTAAGGTTAAGTAATTGGATCACAAGTCATACTAATGTATTAAAGGTTTTGGAAAGATCCACAACAAAGATACTTTTCTTTCTTTCTTTCCTTCTTTCTTTCTTACTTTCTTTTTTTCTGTGCTGGTCCTGGCCTTGAACTCAAGGCCTGTGTGCTGTCCCTGAGCTTTGGTGCTCAAGGCTAGCACTGTACCATTCAAGCCACAGCTCTACTTCTCTACTTCTGGCATTTCCGGTAGTTAATTGGAGATAAGAGTCTCATGAACTTTCCTGCCCAGGCTGGCTTTGAACTGTGATCCTCAGACCTCAGCCTCTTGAGAGCCACCAGCACCCAGCTTGAAGCCATTTCTGTGCTGTTGAGAGTACTTGATGTGAGAGGAATATAGAACCCATGCTACTCTCAACATCTTCTAACATCTTCCAAAATCTTCGCTATCATAGAAAGAAATGTCTGACATTTCCGTGAATGGAACGGGAACCTTTTTGAACAAGAGTGCTCAGAATTAGACATAAAAATCATTAGCATGAGGCTAAATGCATTCCAGAGGCCCGAGAAACCTTTGTGGGAGTTCTTATACCATTAATAATATTGATTTTTTTAAATAAAGGGCAGGTTATGTAGATAGAGATTTAAAATAAAAACAAAACTTCTTTTTCTTTGGTAGAAAACTTTACTGCCGGGGTCTGGGAAGGTGGCTCAGTGGTAGAGTGCTTGCTTCGCATGCATGAGGCCCTGGGTTCGATTCCTCAGCACCACATAAGCAGAAAAAAACTGGAAGTGGTGCTGTGGCTCAAGTGGGAGAGTGCTAGCCTTGAGCTGAAGAGCTGAGGGACAGCGTCTAGGCCCAGAGTTCAGGCCCCAGGACCGACCAAAAAGAAAGAAAGGAAAAAGAAAAAAAACTGCACTGCCCCCACACCGCCGATTTCATCCCAGCCCCTGGGATACACTCCTGCCCACCAAACCTCAGCCTGCCCAGTGGTTTAAAAGTGAAGGAGCAGGCATGATCATCTGGCACTGTCTGACCAGTTGGAAGAAAAGAAGGAAGAAGAGGAGGAGGAGGAGGAAGAGGAAGAGGCAGCAAAAGTTCTGTGTTCCCCAGGAGAGCTGAGCTGTCCAGAAATAATCAAAGCCACAACTTATGATTCAAGAAAATGCAGCTGTTAGGGCAGAAGCAGTTCTGCACAGCTGTGCCTGCCTGCCGGGGCAGAGAAACCCATAGCTCCTACTTCAGGGGCAAGAAGTGTCACAGCTGACCTAAGACTTGAGCCTGAAGTCAGGCTTCTGCACCATTGGAAGGAAATGTTGCTTGCATTTGACTCCAGGATGCAACATTGCTAGGCAACCACTCAGCTTCCTGGCTCATTGGAGAGTGTGTTATAAAAAAATGGGAACTCTCGGAGATGGCAAAGTTAGCCACAACCTGAGGTTAAAATGTCACTATGCTCAGGTAGCTCACACCTGTAATCCTAGCTACTCAGGAGGTTGAGATCTGAGGATCGTGGTTTGAATCCAGCCTGGGCAGAAAAGTCTGTGAGACATTCATCTCCAATTAACCATCAAAAACCAGAAGTGGAAGTGTGATTCAATTGGTAGAACACCAGTCTTGTGTGCCATAGCCAAGTGAGTGTGAAGGGGCCCTGGGTTTAAGCCCAGCACACACACACACACACACACACACACACACACACACACACACACGTACATCGTCACAAAGGACCAAACTTGGAGCCCTGCAGGGTCCACCATCAATGTATTTTAATAAGAGATGAGCAGTTCGCACGTTTGGCTTCCTTGCCATGTTTAGGTTGAGCAAGGGATCAGTCTCCTCTGGCCCTTGCCAGGACTGGGCAGCCTCTTTCCTCCTGTGGAGAGTCTCCTGCCTAGCTTTCCAGGCCAGAAAAAGAGGCTTGTGTAGACCCAACCCCAGGAGTAGGTGTAGGCTTGGGACACTTAGCACCTACCCTTTCCTCCTGACTCGGCCCACCAGGCCTCCCTCTCCTCTTCTGCAGTGCACACACTTTGCCCTTTCGGGTCAACCTGCTGCTCTTCATGCCAGAGCATCCTGTCCTAGAAGCCATGGCAGGAGCTGAGCCTGTGGAAAGTGCTAGATGCCCTTGATGGGTGGGGTGGTGGAGACCCTGGGAGAGCTCGTCCCCAGGGGATCCTGAGCCGCCCAACCTGATCCCTAGGACTCTGCCACACCCTTTAGGTTTCTCAGCCCATTTGCCCATCTACCTAGGCACAAAATCCAAAGTCCTGGAGCCTGAGTGAACCATTTTCTTTCTGCAGCCATTACCATTCATCAGGAAGAGGATAAAGCAGCCCTGGCCTGCCTCTTGGCTACATTGGCTTTGAATTTGAACCTCCCCCTACCTCCCCCCCCCCTACCCAGTTACTCCTTCAGGCTTCCGTTTCCAATTTCCAGGTTGGAGATGGGGTAGCCACATTCTGAGCTTGTTACTTGGTGCCAGCCTAGCTCCCCACAGAGACACCTCCTCCTCCTCTCTTTGTCCCCCCCATTAGTACCACAAACAGCAATTGCAGAGGGGGCAGGTGAGGAAATGGCTCAAGTTCAAATGCAAGTCTATCTACCAGTGTCTCCATCAGCCAGGGTCCTGGGAGGCAGTCAGAGGGGGAGGGAACCCCCCTTTCCCCGCCCCTGCCAGGTCTGGGAGAACTTTGAACTGGGGAGAATTCTGACCCAAAGAAAAGCTGTCCAGGCCGCATGTCTAAGTTACCTGTAATTCCAAAGGAAGTCTGTGCCAGAATGTAGGAGAAACCTATCAAGCCAATCCAGCTGGTGGTGGCAGGGATCTGGAGGGTAAGGATCTTCAGAGATCTTTTCATAGGTGGCTCTGCATGGCACCTTGTGGCTGCCAGCATCCTCAGCTCCTCCCCTCATGCAGAACCACAGGCTGCTTCCTCCCAACACACACACAGAAAACCCCCCCCACCCCAGTAAACGCCTCCAAGAGGCAGAGTGCTCAGTAAATATGAACAAATGCAGTCAACACGCAAAACCCTGTTGGTCCAGCTTGTCCTCGGGGGAGTTCTTAAAGCCAACAGTGACCCATGATTGGCCCAACTGGGCTCGGCCAGCTCTCCCAGCCCTGTGGCCTCAAAGACCAGCTCACCCGGCCCCCCCCTCCCCAGCGGTCACTATTCCTGAGAGCCAGAGTTCGACCTGGGGGCACCTGTGCCCTGTGTCCCTCGGCCAACCATCTCCTGGCCCCACTCCCGGTGGCTAGACTCCTGTAGTCCTCGACCTTTGGTCTCGATGGGCAAAAAGCACGATGCCAGGGCAGCCAGGAGGCAGCAGATGCTGTAAACGGCCAGCGTCAAGTACACGGAGGACTCCAGCATCACCTGGGGAGGGAGGAGAATGTCTTCTCTCAGGCGATGCGTGCACCACGCAATGGCTCCATGAGCGGAGGGCTTCACCCGCTCCCCATCTTACAGAGGGGAAAACTGAGGTGCTAAATGAAGTGCCATACCAAGGCTCAGGCAAGACAACTCAGATGGGGCTAGGATTTGAACATGGGCCCATTAGGCTTTAGAGTTCAGACCCCTTATTAATCTACCTGACCTGAACCAACTTCCCTGTCTCCCCTGTCCCCCTCTGCCAAATGGGCATGGATTGGTATTACTTGCTAGTGAGGGGAGAGATGGGGAGCCCCTGGAGAGCGCCGTGCAGCTCACAGGAGGCTCACAACCAGTGATGTACAGTGAGCCACAACAACACAATAGAAAGGCTCTGTGGTGGTTCACACCTGTAGTCCCAGTACTTTAGAGGCTGAGGCAAGAGGATTGTAAGCCTGGGCTGCATAGTGAGTTCAAGCTCAGCCTGAACTTTGTTCTTGTCTCAAAAACAAATAGGCCTATGTGGTGGCTCAGGTCTGTAATCCTAGCTTACCTGGAAGGCAGAGATCAAGGGGTTATAGTTCAAGGCCTGCCAGGGCAGGCAAGTTCTCAAGATTTCCATCTCAAACAATGGCTGAGTGTCATGGCACAAGCCTATCATCCCAGTGACCCAGGGAAATACCAATAAGAGGATCTCAGTCCAAGAAGACCTGGGCATAAAGTGAGACCCTGTCTAGAAAATAACCAATACAAAAAGGGACTGGAGGTATGGCTCAAGTGGTAGAATGCCTGCCAGCAAGCAAACTTGAGTTCAATTCCCAGGACCACTATGAACATTGTGGGCCAGCCACTGGTGGCTCACATCTCTAACCCTACCTACTCAGGAGGCTGAGATCTGAGGCTCATGGTTCAAAGCCAGCCCAGACAGAAAAGCCCGTGAATCTCTTCTCTCCAATAAATTATTTAAAAAAAAAAAAAAAGCTAGATGTGGTAGAGCGCTAGCCTTAAGCAAAAGAAGCTCAGGGACAGCACCCAGACCCTGAATTCAAGGCCCAGGACTGGCACAGGAAAAAGCAAACAAACAAACAATGTTTTGGAACACTTAATAGAGGTAGAGGTTGTACAACACTGGCAATGTGCAAAGTATCAAATTGCCTACGGTGGCATCTTTGGGGTCTTTTGCACTTAACTGCTTCCCCCCCCCCAAATGGGCAGCTTTCTGTAGCCCTTCTGAGCCTGTGTTTTATCACAGGTGAGGACCATTTCTTTCCTCCTGAGGGCGAGTTATTAGGTACAATAAGGTAATGCAGATGCACACAAAGCGCTAGGCAGAGGCCCTGACTGAGGTTTAGGGTTGGGGACCGGGGAAGCCCCTACCTGCGCGATGAACGGAGTGATGAGGGCACCCACTCTCGCCATGCCACTGCAGGTGCCCAGGCCCAGCGCCCGCGTCGCCGTGGGGTACACCTGCAACAGCAGTCACGTGTGGACCGGGGACAATGCCAGAAACCCTCTGTCCCTCCCCGCCTCAGCTCAGGACCCAGGGCCCCAATCCCCACAGACCTGAAGCCAGGGAGTGTCACTCATCCCATGTAGGGGGTGGCAGGGGGTGGCAGATTGGGGCCATGGTAGTAGGAAATTCAATGAGGCAGAGCGTGGGTCATGGCTCAGGCCAGCCTGGGCATAAAGGGAGACTCT